AGGCATGTGCCCTGACTGGGAATTGAACCAGCAACGCTTTGGTTCACAGGCCGGTGCTCAGTCTTCTGAGCCACACCAGCCAGGGCTCAGGAGCAGCCTTTTTACACTCGCTGGCTCCTTTGATGATCTCAGGGAAGTTGTAGGCTCATTCCCAACGACAATATGCTCACATGGTTATGTGTAAAATCTGAGAGGATTCACAGACCCTGCTGCCCTCCTGAGCCTATTTGTGCACCCAGATTTAGTGCCTGATCTTACACGGCGGAAGCAAGGCCCGGGGAGGAAAAGGGCCTCGCTGCAGGTGGCACAGGCAGCCAGGAGCCAGGCCCTGGAAATGTCAGCCAGGCCAGGCCTGGCCTTGAGAACCCCGCCTGTTCCTCCCCCACAGCCCCAGGCCCCCATGCAGCCTCCAGCTGCTCCACCGAGCAGCTGTTGGTCCCTTGCACCCAGTCCAGTCAGCTCCAAGAGCACGCTTCTCTGCCCAGGCACTTGTGACTCCACTTGACTATAAGCTCCAGACCCAAAGTCCAGTCCCGTGTCGTGCACCGTTGGAATCGCCAGTGGCTGATAGTATCAGCAGTCATTCCTGGCATGCACTTCCCCCGTAAACCACCCTTTCTCTGGTGAGTTTTTTTAATAAAAACTTGCCCTTGTCCAGCAGTTCAGTCCTGTGCTTGGTGGCACTAGGGACAGAGCAGGCATGGAGACAACTATGTCCCTGCTCTTCCTCATCCTCAGACAGTAGCAACTCAGAGTAAGCCAGGTTGGGAAAGTAAGCCAGGTTGGGAAGCGGAACCTGGGGGGGGCTTCAACCCTGGTAAGGGGAATCAGGGAGGGCTTCCTGGAGGAGAGGACACCTGAGCTGAGGCCACAGGGACAAGTAGGGGTAAGGCAGAAGAAAAGAAGACAATCCCAGAGAAAGGAAGAACATTTGCAGAGACGAGGAGATACACTGGCAGGGCGGGTAATCCTTGGGAAAACCGGGCCTGGGCCCCGCCCACCCACGGGCTCCGTAGTGTAGCCGGCGGCCCGGCTGCGGTAGTTTGGACTTTATTTCTTGGCCTCTGGGAGGCGCAGGGTCAGCTTGAGCTTTCCAAAGACTAGTCTGCCGTATGGAGGGTGGATCAGAGGGCCGAGGGAGAGGGAGGAAGGGGGTTGGTGCTGGAGGCCGTTGGGCAGAACAGGCACTACTGGGAGGGGAGGAGGAGCTTCCTCAGTGGCCGGCAGGTCCTCTCTGGCACTTTCCTTGCCTGCACTCTACTGCCCCTTTGGCCTAGAGCCCCACCCTACCCCTCACCCAGCCTCCTCCCTGCCTGTCTACCTGCAGTGCCTTCATCCTCCCCTTTTTCTTATGGGAGCCCCCCCCCCCATTCCTTATAGGTGCCCACCCCTGTTCTCTATTAGCCTCTCAAGGATTGGGAGCCCTTCTTCTGGCTCAATAAAGACTTCCTGGCTGACAGACTCACATGACCAGTGGTGTTTGGGGAAGAGGGCGGTCAGAGGCAGCCCGAGGACCTCCCCATTAGCACATTGGCGGGGAGCACCACCTGTCCCACTGGGTCAGGACACCGTGACCCGCTCCCGAGGGGACAGGCCCCAAGGCCTCTGCCAGCGTCCGTGTTCTGCCACTCCTCCGTGGGCCCCGGCTGCCCAGCTGGGCGCTCGTCGAATGCCCAGGCTTCCTCCTCCCACTCCTCCCTCCCTGGTGACCGCGGGTTGTGTCCCCATGTACCCTGGGCCAGACTGCGGGTGCTCTTGTCCACTGCGGCCGGGGGAGCTTGTGGAGAGGCGCCTTCTCTGCCTGGTAGGGGTGGAGGTGCCACGCTGCACAGGGCAAACCAGAGTGGGTCCCCAGTGATTGGTAACGTGTCTTTTCTGCCTCAGCCTTTCCCAAGGTTGTCCCCAAAGAGAAAGGGCCATGGGCTGCCCGCTGTGTCCAGTGCAGGGCTCCCAGGAGCTGGCTGTGTCTGTTCCCTTGGACCAAGCCATCAGGCTTCCAAGGAGCAGGCCAGTCTCCCTCAGAAAGAGACCCTCTGCTGGGTTGGGGAAGTCACCTGTTTTGCCTGGAGCTTCAGCAAGTCCGGGCTGGGCTCGGCCTCATGCACACGGGCAGGGAGCGGGGCTGAGGCGCTCAGGGTGGCGGAGCCCCTGCCTCCCGGGGGCAGCTGGGCAGAGAGGACAGGCCCACTCTCCGCCTCCTCGCAGCCACCAACCTGTGCTTTGCGGAGCGGAACGTGTACACATCGGAGGTGCTGGCCGTGGTGATGCAGCAGCTGATGGAGCAGAGTCCCCTGCCCATGCTGCTCATGAGGACCGTCATCCAGTCCCTGACCATGTACCCCCGCCTGGGGGGCTTCGTCATGAACATCCTGTCCCGCCTCATCATGAAGCAGGTAACCTGTCCCTGGCCGCCCAGTCCCCAGGCAGTGGGCTGACAGCGGCAGGACACTGAAGAGCGCTTCGAGGCGGAGCCCCGGGCCTCTCCGGCCTAGCTGCCCCCCACCCCCTAGAGGGAGCCGGGACGAGGAGGGCAAGCGGCACCCGGCCTGGCCGGCCCCGCGCCCTGCCCTTGGCAGGGACAGCAGCGCTCCAGGGGCTGTGTCTCGGCCACGAGGTGGAGGCAAGAGGAGCCAGGGTGGCTAGGAGGCAGGAGCAGGCGGCAGACTTCCGGGGCGCACATCCCAGGAGAGGCATGGCTGCCCCTTGTCCCCCACTATTGTGCTCACAGGCGGGAGGCACCCTAGAGCTGAAAGGTGGTTGGTTTTCAAGAGAAGTGAGAACTCCGTTTTTAGGAATACTGTGATGAAACAAAAATCAAACCTCATCCACGAGCACTCAGACTGGATTCAGCCCACCGATTGCCACTTTGCAGCACCTGACTTAAAGGTTAAATGCAGATTCACACCTGCCGGTGGTCAAATCTTGGTTCTGCCTGTAGTTACCAGTGTGACCTTAGACAAGTCTGTGTATCGCCCTGGGACTTGTCGGTTTAGCAGGGCAAATGGCTCCCTCTAGAGGCTTCTGTGAGAATGAAATGAGACGGGGCTCAACACTTAGCCTGGGCCTGGCGCTGGCCCAAGGAGAGGAACGTGAAAGGGCCAGTCAGTTTTCTCCTCCCCAACGTGGGCTCACGGCGCCCCTGCTCGGGCCCTGGAAGCGAAAGTCAGAAGATCCTGTGGAGGGAGGTCAGGGCTGTGTAGCCCAGAGGACTCTGTTGGGTGGTAGGGACCTGAGCCCCAGCAAAGCCCCATCTGTGCAGGGTCCCCCTCCCAGTTTCTGGGGCGGCCGCTTGCGGGCCCTTACGCCCACCCCCCCCCGCCCCATCCAGGTGTGGAAGTACCCCAAGGTGTGGGAGGGCTTCATCAAGTGCTGCCAGCGCACCAAGCCCCAGAGCTTCCAGGTCATCCTGCAGCTGCCGCCCCAGCAGCTGGGCGCTGTCTTTGACAAGTGCCCAGAGCTCCGGGAGCCCCTGCTGGCCCATGTCCGCTCCTTCACCCCCCATCAGGTACCCCAGGGGGTGGGGGGGTGGCCCCATGCATCCAGCCCTGGGGGTGCTGGGGGGGGTGGGCAGAGGGGAGCCCTGCAGTATCAGAGAATGTAAAGGGTTCTGGAGGGTCAGGGACCAACCAGGGACATGGGGTGTCCAGGAGGGGCCCCTGGGTCAGAGCGCCCAGCAGCACCCCACCCCCCTCTCCCCCCAGCAAGCACACATCCCCAACTCCATCATGACCATCCTGGAGGCCAGTGGCAAGCAGGAGCCGGAGGCCAAGGAGACCCCCGCAGGGCCCCCAGAAGAGGTGAGGCTACTGTGTGTCTTCGGGAGGCTCCTGCTGAAAGGGGGGCGGGGAGGGGGAGGACAGTTGCGCCTTACTCCCAGTGCCCCTCCTGCTGTCTGCCTCCGCGGCTCCTGCCCCTTCCCACCGCCCTCCGAGAGCAGCCTGGGTCCGCACCCCCACCCGTCCCTGAGCTGCTGTGTGCCCCTCCCCACCCCAGGATGACCTGGAGCCCCTGGCGCTGGCTCCGGCCCCCGCCCCCCGGCCCCCTCAGGACCTCATCGGCCTACGGCTGGCCCAAGAGAAGGCCTTAAAGCGGCAGCTGGAGGAGGAACAGAAGCTGAAACCTGGGGGAGTGGGAGCCCCCCCGCCTTCGGCCTCGGCCTCTGCCAGGCCGGGCCCCCCACAGCCAGAGGAAGCCATGGATTTCCGGGAGGAGGGGCCTGAGTGTGAGACTCCTGCCATCTTCATCAGCATGGATGACGACTCGGGGCTGACCGAGGCCGCTCTGCTGGACTCGAGTCTTGAGGGGCCCCTGCCGAAGGTAGGGATGACAGCCTCAGGGCGCAGAGGAAAGCGCCAGGCCCCGGGGTGAAGCGTGGGTCGGATGCCCACGGGGCGGTGACGGGGGTACAGCCCCCAAAAATCTTGGAGGTGAGACCAGCTCTCTTTGACCGGCTCCGTCTCCTGTCACCAGGAGGCAGCAGCGGGCGGGTTGACGGCGAAGGAGGAGCGGAGCCCCCAGACCCTCACCCCTGCTGGAGAAGACGCCGTGAAGACTCCCAGCCCGGCCGCCGTCGCAGAGGAAGCCGGGGAGCCCGAGACCAAGGGGAACAGCTGACGGGGCTTGGTGGGGAAGGGGAGTGGGGCTGGGGGTGGGGGGCGGGGCGCTGCTTTGCCTTTAAAAAAATTAAAAAGAAAAAGAAAACATCGCGGCTGTTGGGCGTAAGTGTAGTCTCATCTCTGCGGCGAGTCAGCCTTGGGACTGTGTCTAGAGGAGCCAGCCGACCCCTGGAAGCCCCGGGGGCCTCGGACTGCGCTTGCGCAGAAACCAGCTCTTTGGCCCTGGCGCGTGCCCGGCCCTGGCGCGTGCCCTTCCCTGGTAACGGCCCACCCCTCCTTAGAAACGGGCGGGTTGGCCAAGCGGCTACTGGGCGTGTGTGGGCAGGCGACCAGTCGGCGGGGCTGCAAGCCTCCCTCCAAGAAGTCTGGGACCCCTTTTGGACTATGGGGGACCCGCCGGCCGACCCTGAGCTGCCTTTCCAGCAGTCCTCGAGGCCCAGAGGCTCCCGGGCCTCCGACCAAGGGCGCAGTCGGGAGCACTCTCTGTCCCAGGCCGCGGTCCCCCAGGAGGCACAGCAGCTGGCGCCTGACGCTCAGGTCCTGAGGGGCAGTCAGGAGATGCCCGGGATCCAAACCAACCTCCAGGGGTGGCCACAAGGGGCCGGCCTGAGCCAGTATGACAACTCGATGTCCCAGGGTGGCGTACAGTACCCGCCTGCAAACACAGGGTATCCCACGGATTACCAGCCCCATCATTATCTGGATGAAGGCAGGGTCCAGGCCACCCGCAATGCCAACCTCATGCTGGATCAGCTACAGCGGGGCCGAGGCAGCCTCTTCCAGCAACTAGAGGCGGCCTACCATGAGCCCCGGCCCGACTTCCTGGGCCAGGTCAGCATGTACCAGAGAGAAGACCTGCAGTTCAGCGATGGCACCCAGAATGGGCTCTACCCGGGGGATGACCCCACCCTCCAGTTCTCCTCCTCTGCGCTGGGCTTCATGCCCTTCAATGTGGAGGTGCCCGAACCGGAGCCGCGGGAGCTGGCCGTGCAAAACGCCAAGGCCTACCTGCTGCAGACCAGCGTCGGTGGCGACCTCAGCCTGTGAGAGGGGGCTCCGCAATGGGGGTGGGGCGGGACCCAGGCCGTCCCAGCCAAGACCTCCCTCAGGCTCTAGGGTCTCCTCAGACAGGGGGGTTGGCCCTCAAGGAGAATCAGCAACTGCTCTGGAGCATCTCTCTCAGACTAGGAGTCAGAATAAATGCTAACGAGAACTAAAAAGTAAAACATTTACCTACCAGACATTGTGCCAGCGCTTCACACATTAACCTCTAGTGCTCACAGCTGAGGTGAGCTCATCTCCTGTCCCTGTTTTACAGTGGAGGAAACTGAGAGACAAATTAGGTTCCACACCCAAGATAGTACCACAGCTAGGCCGTGGCAGAGCCAGGGCACACGTGATTCGGCTCCCAGGGCCCTGTTAGCCACCGAAGTGTCCTGCTGAGGGAGGCACCTGCCAAGGCCACTCGGCTGCAGTCGAACTACACCTCTTGGCTCCTCCCCCTTCACATTCTAGTGGGAGAATGGACCATAAATATAATAAAGGATAAGGTGATAAGAACTAAGGTGAAAAAGTAAGGCCGGGTAAGTGGTACAGAGAGTGCATGCTAAATGGTGTGAGGTCAAGGAAGGGCCCCTCTGAGGAGGTGACATTCAATCAGTGACCTGAATGTGGTGAGGGGGAGCACCTTGCAGATACCTGGAGGAAATGTGGTCCAGGTATGGGGTATAGCAAGGCTGGAGGCTCTCAGGTTTGCTGTGTTGGAGGAACAGCAAGGAAGCGGGTGTGGCGAGAAGCAAGGGAGGGGCGGGGGTGGGAGGAGATGAGGCTGGAGGTCTTGCTAAAGGGCAAAGCTGACCCCGTCCCTCCCATGTGCAGAATCTGCCGTGGTTGTCCAGTACCCTTGGAAGACGGTCCTGCTCCTCACAACAGCCTTCAAGGCCCTCTATAATTCAGCCTCTCTCTGTAGGCTCTCCCAATTTCATCTCCTAGAATCTAGTCAAAATTTACCACTAGCGCTTCTTCAATAGCTCCCAGTCCTCTAGAGCTTCAAGTGCCCCTATTAAAAAGCACTGACCACATGCTGACCTCTCCTGGCCCCTCCCAGGTCAATGATGGCCCTCCACCCCACCCAAGGCTGTTGCCAAGGGGTTTCCACACCACAGATGGTTAGACAGACATGCTCTGAAATCAGACCAACCTAATTTTAAATCCTGGCTATTTAGATTTAAATCCTAACTATTGTGTGACCTCATGACCTCAACTTTTCTAAGCCTTAGGTTTCTGATCTGGAGAGTAGGGATTATAATTGTTCTTCAGAGAGGTGATTGTGGTGAGAATTCAACATTGTTCTCAAGTGCCCAGTGTAGTGCCTGACGGTGAATGGAAACCGCTACCGCACTGTTTTCGCTCCAGCCTCCTCTCTTACCACAACCCCTCTCCCTCACTCCTCCAGCCACACTGACTTCCAGTGCTCCTCCAACATGCCGGGCACACCCCCAGCTCAAGGCCTTTGCACATCATTGCCAATCACATCATCTGCAAACCATGGCAGTTTTGCTTCTCCCTTTTCAATACTTTTTTTTTTCATGTCAGGTTGCATTGGCTGAGATCTCCAGTGCAACATCAAATAGAAATAAAAGCAGGCATCCTTATTCCCAGTCTCATAGCGGAAAATCGTGTTAGGTGTGTGCTGTAGGTTACTGGTGACTACCCTTTATAAGATTGTTTAAAAATTGCCTCCTCCTAGTTTTCCGTGCTTTTAAAAATCATGAATGAGTGTTGAATCTTACCAAACAATTTCTCTGCACCTATGAAAGTGATCTGACATATCCCCTTGAACATACTGACCTGGCAAACTACGTTTTTTTCTGTTTTTGTGGTCAGTGCAATCTTGCATCCCTGTCTTCAGCCCAGTTTAATCATGGTGTGTCATCCTTGTGAGCAATTGCTGGATGCCATTTGCTAATATTTTCCTTAGGGTTTCAGCAACTGTAGTTCTAAATGAGATCAGCATGGAATCACTTTCCTTTCCCCTGGCTTCCTTGAGTTTTGGTATCCAGGTTGTCTTAGACTCATAAAGTATTTCAGGGTCTATGCGCCTCCTGTCCCCTCTGACTGAAAGAGTCTCCTCCCCAGGGTCTGCATGGTTTTCCTCCTCACTGCATTCAGATCTCAGCTTCAGTGTCACCTTGGGGAGGCCTGCCCTGGCCTCCCTGTTGAAAATTGTAAACCATCACCCGTCCCCGACATTCTCAGTCCCCACTCCCTGCTTGATCGCCTCTATGGGAGTGACCGCCCCCTGGCACTCTACGCATCTTGCATATTTAGTGTGTGTCTGTCTACATCATCAGAATGTCAGCCCCATCAGGGCAGAGACCTTGTGTCTTCTCTACTGCGTCCCCAGTGCCAGGCACAGGGCCAGGCACACAGCAGTGAGCTGAGAGAGTGATGTCCCCCACCTCCCGCTCCCTCTGGAGGCAGGTACGAGCACCTGGTGAACGTGCTGACCAGAATCCTGAACCAGCGGCCGGACGACCCCTTGTCTATCCTGGAGTCACTGAACCGCACGGCTCAGGAGGAGTGGTTCCACCCCAAGCTGGACTCGCTGCGGGACGACCCGGAGATGCAGCCCACCTACGAGATGGCAGAAAGGCAGAAGGCACTGTTCCTCCGGGGCGTCGGCGGCGAGGGAGAGCAGGAGGTGGAGGAGGAGGCGGTGAGTGAGCCGGGGCGGGGAGGCGCACCCAGCACGCACGGCCCGAGCTGAGGCCTGGAAGTGAGGGAGCGCGGGGCGCGGCCCAGAAACACAGGCCACGGCAGCCTAGTGTGTTTGCCCCGCAGACGGGGTGGGGACCCGGCTGCACAGGACCTCGAACGCCAGACTAAGGCACCCCTGAGGCCACCGGGGCGCCACGAAGGGCTTGGCGAAAGGAAAGGCGGGTGGGTCAGCCCTGCGCTTCGGAAAGCTGACCCCAGCTGCCCTGTGGAGGTGGAGGCTGGCCTCTCACACCATCCATTACTCCTCCCTCGGGAAAAGAAAGCTTTGCACATGTTTTCTGGGACACCCTGCCTGCCGGAGTCTCTCGACACTGAACTGCCTGATCTCCTGAATTCAGTTTCCCATTTTGTGAGCTGAGACCGGCGACGAACTCTTCCGCTTGTTACCATTTACTAGTTTCCAGAATTGGACGACTGCCTGAAATTCAGGTGAAATATTCTTTCACTGGTTCAAGAGACATTTGTTGAGTACTCTCTGTAACAATTTGGACACCGCTTCTGCCCCCTGAGTTTAGGAGTGTTGCTCCTTTCAGCCCTGAAGCAACCCCGCAAGGCAAATGCTACTTGTTATTCTTATTTGCAGAGAAAAGACAAGCTCAGGGGGCAGGAAGCTAGGAAGGGCTGGAGACAGGAGGCAGGACCTTGACCTCCAAAGCCCCTGTAACCTCTGCCTGATGTGCAGATGCCTTGGTCTGTGCTCCATTCTGTGTTTCTGAGAGTCTAGGATTCTGGCGACAGTGGGGTGGCTTGGTGAGAGAATGCAGGGACGACAGTCTGACAAAGAAATGTGCCCTTGTGAGCGGAGCACAAGCTGGGATACAAGTTTTAGGCAGGAAAGGCAGTTTTATCTGAGAGTACGATTGTAAGTTTCCAGATCAACAGTCTCTCCGGGGGAGGGCACGCCCCCTTAGAACTGCACCCTCTCCCCCGCCCCCACCAACCCCAGGTTGCACCCCCATCTAAACACCAAGCGTCCCTGAGGGCCCTGCCTCCTTAGAATTCTTTGCCCCTAGAGGCTCCGCCCCCTGAGACTTCAGGTCTACTGAAGCTCCGCCCAATTAAAATTCAATCCTTTGGGAGACTCCGCCCCCCGCCCCCCCCCACCTAGAACTTAGAGCTGGAGTTCTTAATGGGAGGTCTGCAGAAGGGCAAAAATGTGGAAGTTTGTGGTCTGTGCAAGAGACGGAAAGAAATCGATGACTCAGCATTTCATTTTTTTTTCTGTCTAATGGAAGGACTCTCTTTCTCTCACTTTCAATTTCTTCCAAACGGCCAGCCCTGACGCCCCCGCTTCGAAATGCCACCTCTACCAGCGAGGTACGCCTGCACAGGGCACGGCATCTGTTTCCTGCCATCTGCATCCTTGCTCTCGGGATGGCGTCCCGCTTGCTGTGGCCAACGCCGCAGAGCACCCCTTGCTCTTGGGGAGCAAAAGCCTCTCGTCCCTGCGCCTGTTTTGAAGAGAGTTCCTGACTAATTTCACGTTTATAATCTTAGACTAGCTTTTGTATGACGGTGTCACGGTCCAAACACTAGCACCTTACTACACTTGTTGGACAGTACAGGTCACTTTAAGGCCAGAGATAGATGATGTTGCAGACATGCAGACAAGTGGCTTAGACAAGCTAGAAGTTTCTCTCATACCTGATAGGTTGCAAGCAGTAGAGGGCTGGCAAGGTGGCTCCGAGCAGAGGGACAGGAGGGCTGTCCTCTCCCCTTCCTGCCCCAACGCGAGAGAAGGGGGGGTACAGCAGAGTCTGAGCTGTCATTGGTGGCAGCTGTTTACTCTTACTCCAGTCAGCAGTGGCGAGGGGGCGGGGTGAGATCATTTAAACATGGTTGGCCAGACCGCTCCATTGCCACATGGATGGGGGATTCCCAGACTGAGGGTGACCGCCCTTGGCCCATGGGCCAGGCACACACACCCCACGAGAGTTTCCGAGGCTCATTCCCTTATCTTCCCTCCTGGCTGCAAAACAGTGACTCTTGGGATTACGTTTTGACTCTGCCCCCCTGAGTTGCTGATGTCAACATCAATTAGACAAACAAGCTTTTGCACTGTATTTAAGATTGAGGGAAAGTGCTGGAATCACTTTCAAAATAACCATTCTCGCCTTGACTGGTTTGGGTCAGTGGGTCAGGCACTGTCCCATGAACCAAAAGATTACCAGTTTGATTCCCAGTCAGGGCACGTGCCTGGGTTGCAGGCCAGGTTCCCGCTTGGGGGCGTGGGAGAGGCAACCAACGCTTCTCTTGTGCATCAGTGTTTCTCTTCTCTTTCTCTCTCCATTCCCCTCTCTCTAAAAATAAATAAATCTTAAAAAAAAAAAATTCTCCTACTCTAGAGTTTTAGTCAGGGTGTGCCACGTGGAGCTGAGGTAACAAACAGCCCAACAATTTCAGCAGCTTCAAACCACGCAGTTTTGTTCTCACTCACACTACCTGCCCATCCAGGGCTGGCAACAGGACTTTGCTCATCAGCCGCTTGAGAACCTGGGGTGGTGCAGGTTCGGCTGTGACACAGATGTCCACGGTTGCAAAGGAGGAAAAAGAGAGCCTAACAAAACCCATGTGGGAGATATCTATCTATCTGTATCTATCTATCTATATAGGTAGATATAGATAGATAGGTAGATATGTAAATATAAATTTATTTATTTTTAGAGAGAGGGGAAGGGAGGGAGAAAGAGAGGGAAACATCAATGTGTGGTTGCCTCTTGCGCGCCCCCTATTGGGGATATGGCCCACAACCCAGGCATGTGCCCTGACTGGGAATCGAACCGGTTACCCTTTGGTTTGCAGGCCGGCACTCAACCCACTGAGCCACACCAGCCAGGGCCCCATGTGGATTCTTAGGGCTTCTGCTTGGGTGAGACACATGTCCCTTTTTCTGCCATTTGAAATGGTCAGAGCAAGTATCCTGGCAACTGCTGAATTCAGAAGGGGTGGGCACATGTACTCCTTCTTTGGGAGGGGACTTCAAACCTTTGTGAACGACAGTATCTCTAGAGGATGTAGGAGGAAGACTAAACTGTTTGTTCTAACTCTGTTCCCAAAAGGAGCTTTCTTTAACATGAGGATGCAGTATACACCTTTAGGAAAAACCTCAGTGTGTTCATTGCCCAACCTTTATCAGCAACTGGTACAAGCTAAACACCATCATTGATGTTCACACAAACCCTCTGTTATGGGTTGAATCGGGTTCCCCTCAGATTCATTTGTTGACTCCTTAACCCCCAGTACTTCAGGCTGTGACATGAAATAGGATCATTGCCAATGTAATGACCAGGGAGGGGTCCTACTGGCGTAGGGTAGGTCTCTAATCCAATATGACTGGTGGCCTTATAAAAGCTTAGCTTCAGCAACAAACAAACACACACACATACACACACACACACAATACCTGGTGAACATGAAAGCAGGGACCAAAGAAACGCTGCTGCAAACCAAGCAGCGCAAAAAAGTTGCCAGCAAACCACCAGAAACTGGGAGGGAGGCAGGAAGCAGAGTCTCCCAGCCCTCAGTAGGAACCAACGCTGCTGGCCGCTTGACGTCCACTTCTGGCCTCCAGAGTTGCGAGACGATGCATCTCTGCCATTTAGCTTATGGTGCTTTATTACAGCAGCCCTAATAAAGCACTACCCCGCCTTTTTGTAATATGTGTAACTCTTTGAATAATCTTTCAGTGCATTTGAAACAAGAGGCAAATAGTCCTTAGTGTGCCCAGCAAAAGTTAACAATTAAATATATAAGCCCTAGCCCTGGCTGGTGTGGTTCAGTGGATTGAGTGCCAGGCTGCAAACCAAAGGGTCGCTGGTTCGATTCCCAGTCAGGGCACATCCCTGGGTTGCAGGCCAGGTCCCTGGTGGGGGCATGCAAGAAGCAACTAGACATTGATGCTTCTTGCCCTCTCTTAAAAATAAAAAATAAAATATATATATATATATAAATTCTAGAATTTTCACCTTCTTCAAGAAAATTGGCCAGTGACTCAGACAGCTGTGTAAAGGAGCTGAAGAAAATGTGTTCATCTTGAAGTTTTTGTTACCTTGAGCTTTCAGATGCTTGGTGGGAATCACTGTACTTCCCAGAAGCTGTCCACAGACCTTAAATGAGAAATTCATCTCTTTGATCTGGTTTTTTTCCTTCTGACTTTAAGTGGGGCTTATATGTCTTTGTTATATGTTTGTATGTTTGTTTGTTTGTTTTTAAATCCTCACCCAAGGACATGCTTATTGACTTTAGAGAGAGGAGAAGAGAGGGAGAGAGAGGGAAAGAAACATCCATCCGTTGACTCTTGTACATGCCTTGACTGGGGACTGAACCCACAACCTTTTGTTTATGGGACAACACTCCAACCAACTGAGCCACACTGGCCAAGACTATATGTTTTCTTGAACGGCAAGTGTGCCTTTTCCCCTGAGCTAAGAGGGATGAATGGGTGCATGAGCCAAATCTTTATCATCAGCTGGTACAGCAGTGATAGACACCTACGAGAGCCTGCTAAAATAAAGGGGAGGGGTAGGATTTATCGTAAAGAAAATAAGGCATTTCCCAGAATCAGGGGACTTACCTTAGCTGGGCTGCAGGAATAGCTGGACCAAGCTAACCAGCTCTGATCCTGAGTTTTTTTCTTTCTCTCTGCAAACTGGCCTCCATCGTCTCTCCGCGCAGAAAGTCAGCCACTGAACACTCACACATTTCCATGTTTCATTACCAGGCACACGGAGAAGTTGGCCCCTGGCTTAGTTCTCCAGTTGCTGCTGGAATCACCACAAACTTAGTGGCTAAAGACAACTTTTTTTGGTGGGAGGGAGAGAAGAAAGTTGAGATAGAGAGAGAAACAGAGAGAGGGAGGGAGAGAGGGAGGGAGGGAGAGAGACATCGATCTGTTGTACCCCCCATCTATAAATTCATTGGTAGCTTCTTGTATGTGCCCTGACCTCCAGGGATCAAACCCACTTGGGGATGTATGGAGACGACGCTCTAACCAACTAACCTGCCCGCTCGGGGCAGACCCCTTCAAGTTCTACCTTACCGTTCTGGAGGTCAGGAGCTGTAACTGGGTTTCCCAAGGGGCAGGCAAGGGCTGCCTTCCTCAGAGAGGCTCATGGGAGAGTCTGTTCCCATGCCTTCTCCCGTGTCCGGGGCCGCCTGCATCCCCTCCTCCTCCACCTCCAAAGCCGGCAGGGCGACCCCCTCAGACCTCCCTCTGACTCCGGCTTCTGCTTCCGCCATCGCATCTTCTCTGACCCTCCTGCCTTGTGACCTCCTTGGGCCAACCCTGATAACCCAGGGTGATCTCCCCACCTCGGGACCCTCCGTTTGATCAGCCTTGCACGTGCCATTTGCTATGTAAGGCCTCGTGCTCACGGGTCTCCGGTTTAGGCCATGGCGTGTTGGGGGAGGTCATGACTCTGCCTGGCACACCCCCGTTCTCTCCATCCTGATGTCAAGTTCTGGCGGGGGAGCTGTGTTTCCCTGGCCCAGGCAGGCTGGCCGAGGCCAAGGGCGGGTCGTGCTGACCTCACGTGGGAGGACCTCATCAGTTTTGTTCACTGACATGCGTCAGTCCCTACACTAGCCTGCGGCTGGCCCCCATTGGATTTGTTTAAACTTATTTTAATTTTAGAGAGAGAGGAAGGGAGGGAAGAAGGATAGGGAGAGAAATATCAATTGACTGCTTTCCATATGCACCCCAACTGGGGACCGAACCTACAACCCAGGCATGTGCCCTGACCGGGAATCAAACCAGTGACCTTTCAGTTTACAGGACAATGTCCCACCAACTGAGCCACCACGGCTAGGGCACCTACTGTATTTCTGGGCCCCGGTGGCTCAGTTGGTTAGCGTGTCATCCCCATATGCCAAGGTTGCAGGTTTGATCCCTGGTCTGGACACATACAAAAAATCAACCCATGAATGCATAGATAGTGGAACAACAAATCAATCTCTCCCCCCCGCCCCCGTTCTCTCTCTCTCTCTCTCTCTCTCTCTCTCTCGTAATCAATACATAAATTTTTTTTAAAAAATTCTGGACTGATTGAATGAAAGAGTATTGGGACAGCCGTGGCCACATGGATGTGGTGGCAGCTGAGCCCAAACCTCCCTGTATCCCAGTTCGAGCCCTTGGCTGACTCGTTCTCACTCCCTTTGCGGTCTCTCTCTCTTCCTGAACAAAGCAATGAAACAGGAGGCAGTGAGGGCAGGACTTACCACCCCCATCCCCAACATCACTAATCCCTGAGTTCAGGTCTGCCTCTTCCGTGAACTTGCTGTGTGGTTTGGGGTCTCTCTTAAGGTTGCAAGTAACAGAAAGCGTGACTGGAAGTGAGGAGGTAGGGCTGCTCAGCGATGCCCGTGGGCACCGGGCAGTTTCCACCTTACAGCTCCACCACCGTCAGGGTGTAAGACATGTGTTGCCTCATGGTCCCAAGATAGCTGCTCTAGCTCCAGATCTCACATCCCACTCCAGGCAGGAACAAGGGGAAAGGATGCAAGATTTTCTCTTAGTGTGATTTTTGCCTTTACTTCTCCATCGAGTGGTGTCCTCCCCCACTTGCCCAAGGACCCGCGCTGCTTCTGACTGCCGGAAGGCTCAAGGCTCGCAGGAGCAGCTGGGTTCCCCAGCAGCTTCGCGCTGGGGTCTCTAGACGAGTTAGGCTAGGGAGCAGAGCTTCAGTCTGCCTCCCTCTGCCCCCCTCCCTCCCCACCTTCTGCAGTTAGAGACGGCCGTGCCCAACATCATGGAGTCAGCCTTCTACTTCGAGCAGGCCGGTGTGGGCCTGAGCTCGGACGAGAGTTTCCGCATCTTCCTGGCCCTGAAGCAGCTGGTGGAGCAGCAGCCCATCCATACCTGCCGCTTCTGGGGCAAAATCCTGGGGCTAAGCCGCAGCTACCTGGTGGCCGAGGTGGAGTTCCGGGAGGGCGAGGAGGAGGTGGAGGAGGAGGAGGTGGAGGAGCTGATCGAGGGCGAGGCCATGGACATGCACGGCGGCGAGGAGGAGGGCGAGGAGGATGAGGAGAAGGTCTCCGACATCACCCCCAAGCGGATGTGGAAGCCCCCGCCCGTCATCCCCAAGGAGGAGAGCCGCTCGGGCACCAACAAGTACCTGTATTTCGTGTGCAACGAGCCGGGCCGGCCGTGGACGAGGCTGCCCCATGTCACCCCCAGCCAGATCGTGCAGGCCCGCAAGATCAAGAAGTTCTTCACCGGCCAGCTGGATGCGCCGGTTATCAGCTTCCCTCCCTTCCCCGGCAACGAGGCCAACTACCTGCGGGCCCAGATTGCGCGCATCTCGGCTGCCACGCACATCAGCCCCCTGGGCTTCTACCAGTTCGGCGAGGAGGAGGGAGACGAGGAGGAGGAGGGCGGCGCGGGGCGCGACTCGTACGAGGAGAACCCCGACTTCGAAGGCATCCCAGTGCTTGAGCTGGTAGACTCCATGGCCAACTGGGTGCACCATATGCAGCACATCCTTCCTCAGGTGAGGACTGGGACCCCAGCCCCTAGCTGTCTCAGACCCAGCGGGCTCAGGTGTGACTCCCCAGTAATATCAGGTACCTGCTGTCTGCTACCCATCGTGCCTAACATGCATCCATCCATCCATCCACCCATCCACCCATCCACCCATCCAAAGGTATCGGTTGACAGCCCCTGGTCAGAACCCTTTGGGCCAGGTGCATTTTGGAATTCTGAATTTCTCAGATTTCAAAAATGTGACAGTGCACACATATCCCATGTACTGTATGCAGCACTTTAAGCAGGGCTAGGGCTGCAGCCCGTATTCAAAAGCATGATTGTTATTTTTGCAACAAAACTGCATAGCCTCTCGTCATTCAGAGCGGGACCCTGCCAAATGACTCATGCAAAGCGTCTGGTTCTCAAAGCTTCTCAGGCTTTGGAGTTGTGGGTAAGAGGCCGTGGACCTGCATTAATTGAATGCCTATATCTGAATTTTACACACATTTATTCATTCAAGGAAATACTGGCTGTGTGCTGGGATCTTTTTATTCATGCACGCATTCATTCATTTAAGAAACATTTATTGACTCCAGAAGGTTAACTGAATCCAAATCGCTCCTTCTGAGACCTGTACAGCTAGCATGGCCGTCTCATGGCTGATGAAACTGAAGTCTGTGATATGCTTTGCTCTGAGGTTCATTCACTCCTGCAGCAAACACTTATCAGCTCTTCAGTATCTCGTGTAACCCAACAGCAATCCAATCAGAGAGGCACCTCTGACACCCCCATTTCACAGCTGGGCAAACGGGATTATGCGGGCTGCTGAATGTCAGCTCCACCGGACAGAGATTAGTGGCCTCTTTGCTCAAGGATGTACCCCCAGCACCTGGAGCAGCACCTGTGTAGAGTGGGTGCTCATTAAATGCCTGACGAATGAATGAATGACCGAGTGCACGCACAGACGGGGACCACACAGCCAGCGGGAGGCAGGAGCCCCCACCTCAGTGCAATGGCTCTGCTGGCCCATTCTCTGCCCTGACCTGTGTGACCAAGCCTGTCCTCCTACCCATAACCTAGGTCCCTAAGGACAATCCCAGTGTGCTGCCTGGTCCTTCACCTCTTCCCATGGTATAGACCGTCCTCTGTCCCCCGGGGGTACTGCCTCACCTTCCCCCACCTCCAGGGCCGCTGCACTTGGGTGAACCCTTTGCACAAGAAGGAGGAGGAGGAGGAGCTGGGGGAGGAGGAAGAGAAGGCCGATGATGAGGGGCTGGAGGAGGTGGAGCAGGAGATTGGGCCCCCGCTGCTGACACCGCTCTCAGAAGATGCAGGTAATGGTCCTCCTCACTTATACCACCAGCCTGGAAGGGGCGAGTGGGGGTGGGGGGGACGAGAAAAGGAGGGGCAGTGACATTGCGAGGTCATCTCTCCGAGCCTCAGTTGTCCTATCACCTATAAAACAGACATGAGGACAGTGCCTCCTCTTGGGGCTACGGGAAAATGTCCAGCTTGTGAGCTGTGCCTGGCACATGGCACTGCTCACCTGGTGGGATGTGCTTTCTTTTTTTTTTTTAAGAGAGAGGAAAAGGGGGAGAGGAACACCAATTTGTTGCTCTATTTAGTTATGCATCCATTGGTTGATTCTTGCATGCATGTGCCCTGACCAGGGATTGAACCCGCAACCTTAGCGTATGGGGACAACGCTCCAACCAACAGAGCTACCCGGCCAGGGCAGGATGTGGTCTTTTGAGTTCAGCGTGGGCTTGAGGAAAGAGAGAGCGAGTTAGGAAGTCCTTGCCAGAAGAGTCAGAATTTGAGTCAGATTTTGGAAGAAGGGACAAGCATTTCCTGAGGCTGGGCCCTCAGGCGCCTGGAGGAAGCAGGAAGGAGAGGCTGAGAGTGGGCGGGCGCACAGAGCCCAGATTTCGACCCTGATTTCCATGAGCCCCATGCCTGTGCCCTGCGCTCTGCCCCCTGGTCCAAACAATGGCCAACCGCAGGGAGAATCACAGCGCTGCCCAGTCTGGGGTCCAGGGCTCACCGTCGCCCTGCGAGGGAGGTGAGATCAGTATCCCACTTCCTGGGTGCAGGCACTGAGGCTCAGACAGGTGACGTGGCTTTCTGGGTGCACACGGCAAGAGGGTGGTCCAGAGCCAGGGCCATTCATCACCACAGTTCCCTTCATGCCCCTCCTCATCTTCCCTCCTTACCCGCCCTTCCCTCCGTTCCAGGGTGCTGGGCTGGGGGTGGGGAGCCAGCAGTAGAGCCTCCGACCTTCCTGAAGCCCTTCACTGCCCTGCCCTCCGCAGAAATCATGCACATGTCACCCTGGACCGCCCGCCTGTCCTCCAGCCTCTGCCCACAGTACTCGGTGGCCATCGTGCGCTCCAACCTCTGGCCGGGCGCCTACACCTACGCCACTGGCAAGTAGGTGGTCTCCTAGTCTCCCAGCAGAGGAAGCCCCTGCAGCAGGCCCGCTGGGCAGCTCACTCGGGTGGGCAGAGGTTGGGAGGGAAGCTCCCCTTCAGGAAGCCCCCAGGGCTGAGGCCCTCACTCTTCTCCCAGGGGTTCTACTTGGCCTAAAATGAGAAGTCCCAGACCAGAGTGGAAGCCCCTCAGATAAGAGAATGGGGGATGGGAGAGGGGAAAGAAATGACCCAGGGAAACACAGCATGTGCAGGATGCCAACCTGGTTCTCTGGCCCGCTGGCCCGGGCTTCTCTGCTGTGTGGGTCAGAGAGCCGACAGGACTCAGGAGTCCGCTTTGCCGCAGCCCTAGCAGGGGAGAGTCTTCTCTGTGGGGAAGCTAACTACTTCCCTGGGCCCCCTGGCCAGGTCTTCCGGTTTGAAGGGTCTTCGCTCTGTGGGCCAGAAATCTTCCCTAGCAGGACTCCCCATCATTTGCCCCAAAAGATTTGCGGGCCGAAGTCACTTTTGCATCTTCCCACCGGAAACTACACACTCTACTAATCAATCCCTCAGCCTCTCTCACCAAGGCACGCCCCCGCCTTTCTAATCAGCCACTAGAGGGCGCCGTCTGCAGCAGGGCGGGCGCACTTACCATCTCCGTCCACCAGATGGCATGACGATTTCTCACAGATTTTCCTTTTCTAAACCTCTCTTTGGCTTCTGTGATTCATGGTCGAGGCGGGATTTCATGTCATCTTGGTGCTTTAACCACATGCTTGGCAATTTCTTTTCTCCTCCATAAGCAGGGAAGACGCACGCTTGCTTTTGCCAACACCCATCTTTTGGCCACACCCTAATTTGTCAACATTCTTCTGAAAGCAAAAGCTCCAAATTGGGAACTCCACTCACCCATCCATCCTTTCCACCCCGCCCCCACTCCGCCTCCATCCACCCTCCCATCCACCACCCAATCATTCATCCCTCCGCGCACCCATCCATTTATCTATCCTTTTTTTTTTCATTATAAAAGACTTGTATGACACTGTTTGCCAGCTGTTTGCTGAGCACCAGGCCCTTTGCTGGATAGGCAGATGTGGAGCCCGCTCTGGGAGCAGGCAGAGGAAGCACAGGCGTTAATTGTATAACACTTCTCACCACCCCTCACTCCCCCAAATATCCTGTTACAAACTAAGATAATACCACTAAGGAGCATGGAGGGACCAATGACAGCTCACGTCGGTCATGTCTTGAGAGGATCAAGGAAGGAGTCCTGAGAAAAGCAGCCTTGATCAGAAATCTTTGAGGAAAGAAGGAAGTAAGGGGGCAGGGGAATAGGCAGAAGGACATTCTAGGCTAGAGCTTCTCACACTGTGCGCGCTGGGACTCGCTGGGGGATCTGGTGGAAGCACAGGTTTCGGTACCAAGGGTCTTGGGTGGAGCATGAGATCCTGCATCCCTAGCAATCTCAGCCTTCGGACAAGGCTTCCTGACCACAAGGGCCAGGGTGGGCAGGGGTCGGGGCTCCGGGGAAGACCTGGAGGACAATGAGTCTCTCGGGAACAGCAAGGTCAAAGCCAACTGCTTCCGTGGCAAGCTCTCCGTCCCCCTGTCCTGCTGTCTCTCTTTCTCTCCCTACTTCTCTCTGCCTCTCGCCCTGCCTCTCAGTCCCCTGCCTAGTCTCCCACTTACTCCTCTTTCCTTTCCAGTTAAAATTCTGGGGAGAGGTGAACTGGCCGGGACCTGGCCGGTTCTGTCCTTGTTTACGATCAATCTCCTCCCTCTAGTGTGTAGGCACCATGGCAGGGGTTTTTGTCACTTTGTTCTCTGCTCACCAGGTCCCCACATCTAGACCAGTGCCGTCCAACAGGAATAAAATATGAGCCACATAGGTCATCTTACATTTTCTAGTAGCCATACTCAACAAGTAAAAATAAACAGGCAAAATCCGTTTTAATATATTTTATTTAACCCCAAGTATCCAAAATATTATTATTACGACATGAAATCAATCATGTAAAAATTCTTAATGAGCTATTTTACCTTCTCTCAGACTAAGTCTTTGGAATCTGGTGTGTATTTTACATTTACAACACATTTCAGTTTTGATCTAAATTTTCATAAGTACTCAACTTGTATTCACATTTCATGACATTTACAATCGCAAAAGTAGTCTCACGTACCCAAGTTGTCCCAGTGATACTTAGATGTTTTCAATACTGAATTGAGTATTAGCTTCATTCTTTAAATTTGTAAAAACTTTTTATTTGTTTTGAGAGAGAGAGAGACATTGCTTTGTTGTTCAACTTATTTATGCATTCATTGATTGATTCTTGTATGTGTCCTGACCAAGGATCAAACCCACAACTTTGGCGTAATGGGATGATGCTCTAACCAACTGAGCTTCCCAGCCAGGGCTATTGTTTAAATGAATTAAAATTAAATAAAATCTACTTGACCAACAAGAGCAGAGTACATATTCTTCTCAAGTGCACATGGAATGTTCCTCAGGGTAGACCATATGCTAGACAATAAAAAAGGTCTTTTTTTTTTAAAAATACTTTTACTTATTTATTTATTTTTAGAGAGGGGAAGAGCAGGAGAGAAACATCAATGTGTGGTTGCGTCCCGTGCACCCCCTGCCGGGGACTTGGCCTGCAACCCAGGCATATGCCCTACACTGGGAATTGAACTGGCGACCCTTTGGTTCACAGACAGGTGCTCAATCCACTGAGCCACACCAGCCAGGGCAAAAACAGGTCTTAATAAATGAAAAAAGATTGATCATACAAAAGAAGTTTTCTGACCACACTGGAGTTAAATTAGAAATCAATAACAGAAGGAAAGTCACAGACATGTAGAAATTAAATAACACATTCCTAAATAACAAATGGGTCAAAGAAGAAACCACAAATGAAATTAGAAAAGTATATAAAATTAGAAAGTCACTGTTTGGGGAGCACTAACAACGTTTTAGGGTCTCAGTAGTCACAGGCGCTGTTGGACAGTGCAGCTCTGGACACGGCCTGGCACTTAGTAGGTGCACAGTAAATACTACAGGAACAAATGAGCAGAACAACCTAATGGGCACACTTCACCCTACTATGCATGACTTTTCCATCATGGTTTGTCTGTGCTGCCTCCCACCGTTAGTGAAAGTCCGGGTTGGGGCCATGGAGGGAGGATTTCCCAGTGTCTCACCGCCTCTCCAGGAAGTTCGAGAACATCTACATCGGCTGGGGCCACAAGTACAATCCGGAAAACTTCAACCCACCCCTGCCGGCCGCCATTCAGCAAGAGTACCCCAGCGGCCCGGAGATCATGGAGATGAGCGACCCCACGGTGGAGGAGGAGCAGGCCCTCAAGGCTGCCCAGGAGCAGGCCCTGGAGGGGGCAGAGGAAGAAGAGGAGGATGAGGAAGAAGATGAGGACGAGGACCAGGATGACTAAGGCTTCCTAGTCCCCTCCCCCAAGCAGGTAGATACCTAGTTATGGGTATACCTAGGTATGGGGGTTTTTTTCGCTGTTGGTTTGCTTCTGCTCCTGGAGGGCAGGGGTAGAAAAGGAAGGCAGCTGCTGTAAATAAAATGTTTCCATGGCATCACGGCCCAGGCACTTACTCACGGCTCACCACTTTGTTGACATTACCTCCACGTCAGGGCTATGGGGCTCTGCTAGGAATGCTGATATTGCCCCGCACAGCCTCTCCCTTCTCTTTTGTTTATTCATTCATCTGCATATCAAACAACTATTATAATGCCTCCCGTCAGCCCAGCCCTGTGCTGGAGACTCACAGGTGACCAAGCAGCCTTGGCTGTGCTTTCCTAGGGCTCACTCTCTACGGGGAAGAGAGACACACCCCCAGACAATGAAAACCCACGTGGGATAGCCCAGAGGCCTGACAGCGCCCCTCAGCTGGCTCTCAAAGGGTCAAGAGCAGAGGGGGAAGGGCATTCCAAGCAGAGGGAACGGTGTGTGCAAAGGCCCAAGTGCAAGAGTGTGATGAGCGGGGATAATTTCTCAAACCTCATTTTTAAAACTTTCTTAATTGTTTATCAAGAGAAATGATTCTTTAGTTGAGACATTTATGTTTCATGGCTCAGGAACACAGGTTAGTGACGCACTTCCATGGAATTCAACCCGAAGAAATTCTTCACATTCCAAGATCACTTTGCACTCTGAAAGATAACCAGCCTTCCTCATGTCCTCAAAATCTTTCACGGAATCCTGGCTTCTGTAGAAGTCTGCATATGCTGTCTTTCTTGGTTCAACTGAAGCAAACGTTTAGAAAGCTGCAACCCCCAGGGATATGAGGATGGCTCCAACAATATGGAATCGCAGACGCTTGGCCAGAAGGCCGGGCTCCTGAGGTTTTGTCAAAGCACTAGAAGGCATGATAGTTACAGTCTCCTCTACACCAACACCCTTCCTGATGAAATTCAAACCTCATTTTTGGGAACGAGGTGTAAGAGATTAGTAGTGAGAGATGGCACGGGAAAGCTGTTGGCAGGAACAGATCACTCAGGGCTTCCCTTTGCCCTGAGAGCACTGGGGAGCCACAGATGGACTTTCAGCAGGGGAGGGAGGGCCTAATCATATTTGTGCTTTAGACATACATCTTTAGATGCCACGTTGCGGGTAGACAGGAGTCCGGGAGAGCAGAGACAAGGCTTATTCAAGGGGACCACGAGCAGGAGAGGAAGAGTCTGGACCGTGCTTGTGCAGAGGAAGGGGCTGGAAAAGATGACTTCAGGTGACAGAATGCAAGACTTGGGAACAGGAAGCAGGGAGTGAAGGGAAATTGTCCAAATCTAGGCAGACATTCAGGTCTGCAGCTAGGGTGAGTTGGGGGGAGGGGGGATGGCAGTGCTGGCCCTAAGAATGGGATACAGGAGAGGGGTAGGATTTGGAGTAAGATGTCAAGTTCATTGTAGAATTTGTTGATAGTGAGATGCCTCTGGGACATTCTGGTGACAAGTCGGGGAGGCCCCCTGAGTAAGTGCATCTCGGAAGGTCTGTGACAGGGCGGAAGTGGCTTCAGCAGAAGTCTGGGGCACTGGCTATCTGTGGGGACTGCTGGCGTCAGGAGGAGGTTTTGGGTTATTGGCGGAGCATTGGAACACTGGGGATGTTGTGGGGACCAGTGAAACTTTGGAACCCGAGGTGTGTGTTGGAGGACTGAGTGAGACTGTTGAAGATAGGAGGTTAGTGGAAAGTGTGGAATTGTTTGAGGGTTAGCATTACTCCGCAGTAGGTCGGATGAAGTCCTTGGAGTTTTACGGAGACATGGGGATCAGCGAGATTTTTGGGGATCATCAGCAGTGGAGAGGGATGGCTGGAGATGCTGTTGTCAATTGGGGAGATCAAGGTGTCAATGGGAAACACTGGAAGTCAGGAGAGTGTATGTTGGGAGTCTGTGGAGACACTGGGCTCATCTGGGATCACCTGTGAGGTCACGGGGAGGACAGGATAGCAAAGAGGCGGTCTCTTGAGGGTTTCTCTGTTGCTAGGCAAACGGTTCCCAGGGCGCCGTTGCTAGGAATTAGCGCTTTTTAAAAAACCACGCCTCTTTCCCCTGCGGGCCCCGCCCCCGCAGCCAACCACACAACGGTCTCAGGCCCGAAGGCCGCGCCCACCTTATCGCCCCGCCCACAGCCCAGAACCGTTACCCGAGCGACGGCCGGGGCTCGTCCCGCCTCCCGACCCTGTTGCCAATCGAACGGACGTCGCCCGGGTGACGACCCCACCTCTTCCGGCGCGGGACCGCGGCTTCCGGCGGGGTCCGGGCGGCGGGCGGCGGGCGGCGGTAGGGCAGTGGCGGGGCCCGGGGGGGCGCCCAACATGGCGGCGGGCGGCGCGGAGGGCGGCTCGGGCCCCGGCACCTCCATGGGGGACTGCGCGGAGATCAAGTCGCAGTTCCGCACCCGAGAGGGCTTCTACAAGCTGCTCCCAGGAGACGGGGCCGCTCGCAGGTCGGGTCCGGCTTCCGCCCAGACCCCGGCACCGCCCCAGCCGCCGCAGCCCCCGCCCGGTTCTGCCTCCGCCTCCGGTTCCGCGGGCACCGCGTCGTCTCCGCCACCCGCAGGCCCCGGGCCCGGGCCCGCGCTGCCCGCCGTGCGCCTCAGCCTGGTGCGCCTCGGGGAGCCGGACAACGGCGGAGCCGGGGAGCCGCCCGCCACGCCCGCGGGTCTAGGGGCCGGAGGAGATCGCGTCTGCTTCAACTTGGGCCGCGAGCTCTATTTCTATCCTGGCTGCTGCCGCCGCGGGAGCCAGCGGGTGAGCGGCTTGCATCGCGAGCGGCCTGGGTGCCGAGGGGTGGGGGTCTCTAGCTGATCCTGAAGTGGTAGGAGGCCCGAAATGATCTAAGGCCTTAGATAGGCATCCTACATATGAGGGACATCCCAGGGGTAAAGGGTTGTTGGAGGTAATGCAGAATTTTAAAAGGTGATGGGAAACCTTGGGGTCATGTGGGTGCCCTGGGGGTTGTGGGATGGTGAGTATTCTGGAGATGATGGCGAATCCAAGACGATGTGGATCCTCCAGGGTTACGGGTGGCAAGCATTCTGCAGATGATGGGGAATCCTGAGATGATGCAGAACCCAGAGGTATTGCAGTCTTGAGGTGTTAGGAGAGGTCTTGAGACTTGAGCAGCCACAGGTCCGGATTGTGGAAGTGATGGGGGCCTAGAGGTAATAGGGATCCCAGAGAAAAATTAGGGTTCTGAAGGAAATGAGAATCTGAGTTTATGGGAGATCTGGAGGTGATGACAGCCCAGAGATCCTCAGGTGGGACGGGTGTCTCTAAGTGCTATAGGCACCAGAGGGCATGAGATCCCTGTAATTTATCGTGGTCCCCAGAAGTGATGGGATCCTGAGAGCCCAGAGGGGATGAAGGTACCTAAACGTGGGGAACTATGAGGTTCCATGGGTCCCTGAACTATGATGGGGGTCCTGAGAGTTAGGGATGCCAAATTGAAGGGGCTCCTGAGAGCTGCTTGGGCTTTAGAGGCCTGGGGTTTTGGGTGACCCTGAGTTTTGAGCGGCTTGGAATATTGGGGTGCTAAGACCCAGGGAAGTTGGCTTAGGTTGTGGGGCAGTGCTGGAAAGGAGTCAGAGCTCAGGGACTATGGGGACCCTGAACCCTGGTACTGTGGGTAAGGGTGTCCCTGAAGTTGGGAGGAGTCCAGCTTTGAGGAGGCGCTGTGGTCTTATTCCCGGGGCGGGGGCATCCTTCCTGTCTGCTTTTTCTCTCTCCTCTGTCTGAGATTTGGTTCCCTCTTCCTGTCTGTGGTTGCCCCCTCCCTCCCCACTTACCCATCTACCAACCCACTTCCCTCAAGAGTTTAACCCTGCTTCCTCTTGGTGGTTTCCCCAACCTCAACACCCTCTTCCTTCCTCAGTTGTAGAAGCCATTAACTCCTTCTCTCCCACCACTTAAGTCCATTGACCTCAACAAGCCAATTGACAAGCGCATCTATAAGGGCACCCAGCCCACCTGCCATGACTTCAACCAGTTCACTGCTGCCACGGAGACCATCTCCCTGCTGGTGGGGTTCTCAGCCGGCCAGGTGCAGTACCTGGATCTTATCAAGAAGGACACCAGCAAGCTATTCAATGAAGAGGTGATTGTGGGCCCCCAGGGGACCGCTTCCCTTTCCTCTCACCCACCCTCACCCACACAGCGTTTGCCGTTAGACTGCAGCCCCCCGGGAGCCGCGCCTCTTGTCCTGAGAGGGGCAGGATGAGAGGTGGACTGACAGCTATGTGGGACAGGTGACAGACGGCAGCTAGTATGATAGCAGCTAATAATGACACCTGTACCTACCGTGCCCGGGGCCTATGCTTTGTTAAGCCATCTGTTGAACGCATTACTCCTGGAGTTTTCATAATTCAATGGTTTAGGGATCAAGAAGCCCATTTTGCAGATTAGAGAACTGAGGCTAGTCACTGGTTCAAACTTCTTTGATGCAGAGAGTCCTTGGTCTTCAAATTCTGGGCCCCGTGGGCTTGGATTCAAATCCTTGCTGCACCACATTTACTCTCCATGTGGCTTTGGGAAGCTGACAGTTCCTTGAGCCTCAGTTTTCCTCCTCTGCTAATGATTTCCATCTCTACCTCATCGGACTGTTGTAAAGTCCTGCGTGGAGATTGCTCAGTCCTGGGCAGACTTGGCACAAGAGGAAGAGCCAGCGAGCGGCCTTGTCCATAGGCAGGGGCCGCTCGTGTCCTATACGTACTTTCCTCTGTTCCGCCTGCGCAGGTGCATGAATGGCAGGAGGGAGTGAGCGCAACAGGGAGTGGAGTAAAAGTGCACTAGCTGGCCCGTTCACAGAATATTTGTTGAGTGTTCATCTTGTGCCAGGCATGTTCTCAGCATTGGCGATGTTTCATCTCAGTGAACAAAACTGACAGAGGGGCCCGCCTTTGTGGAGCTTCCATCTAGCTAGGGAG